ACTTGAGAGCTGTATCTTCCCTTTTACTTAATCTAATAATAATAATAATATTCTTTATTGACATACACCTCACAGGACATACAAGACATTAAACATGACAGTGAAAACGTACACAATAGGCGGCCTTATTGCTAAACAGCAATCTCTTCCAGGCAACCCATGATAGTGAAATAAATTAATAAGAGGAACAAGAAGGGGGGTGTAGCAGGTATGTTAAAATAAATAATGAATAATAGATGCAATAGATATATACAAAGAGAGAGACAAGAGAGTGGTAAGACTTAAAGTTGGGAAAGCAAATAACCTCTAACTTGATCGCTAAACGAGCTTAGAGTGCGAGCCTTTCGGATTGTTTCAGGTAGTTAGTTCCACAAGCGAACAGAATGCACAGAAAAGGAATATGAAAAGAAATCAGTTGAATGGAGTGGGACTGCAAGGGTTAGATTTGAAGAGGACCGCAAAGTGCGTTCTGATTTGGAATCAAGAAACGAGAAACATTCTTTTAGATATGGCGGAGAAGTAAGAAGGAAAAGTACTCTTATAATAGTAATCTAAGCTCTTTTCTACTTATTAGTTGCATCGACGTTACTTTGAAAAACATATTGGACATGGGTTTGTGGACGGTAAGATCCTAAGGGGACCTCAAGCCGAGAATTGGCGAGAGGTATTGTAGAGGGCGGAGTCTCCTCGCCGTCGGGAGCCTCTAGACCACTCGAACCTGAGGGGTCGGCTCAACTGGAGGGCGACTTTGACACTCGGACCTCGACTCTAGTAATCCGTTCTCGTAGGTACCTGTACCTGTAGCGTGTCGTGTGTAGACCAATTCTTCGCACGTGCCGCTCCAGCCTTTCTCACTTTGCATTACAAATAAGAAGGTACGCACACACATATATATGATATACCATATATACGTGTGTGCATACCTTCAATAAGTGTATACCATGGTGCGTACCGATGTACGCGCCACGGTACGCACTGTTTTTATAAAATTAATAGAATAGAATAGAATAGAATAGAATAATTATTTATTTGCGTTTGAACAGGGTAATCAAGGTCATAAATAGTTACACATAACTTTACTGTAGGTTTCACCTATTCAGCTATAGAACGTAGCATGCAAATTTACATCAGTTTTTTATCAAATTAATTAATACTATGTCACATGATTGAATAAAAATTACTTAACAGGTCACAAAATAAATAGTCAAAAATATAAAAATTCGATTAAAATCAGGTCATATTAAAATGTGAATCAAAAATATAATTAAATCAGTATATGTCACTCAAAATCTCATCCACCAAAATTACTATTATTTATATATTAGCTATCATAATTCAAGAATTCCTGGACCGAGTAGAATTTACGTTCAATGAGCCATCTACGTAGTGTTATTTTAAATCTACTGAAAGGCAAATCTCTTATTGAATGTGGAATATTATTAAAAATTTGAATGCACATATAGTAACAGTTCTTTTTAAAACGTGTGCTTTTCGGGATTGTATCAATGACTAACCTTTTACCATGTCTTGTATTTGTAGGAAATATCTCACGGGCAGTTTTAAAGTAATTTTGATTTAACTTTACGAACTTAGATATCTCCAGGATATAGAGGCATGGCAGAGGCAAAATATTTAGGGGTTTGTAAAATGGTTTGCATGACATATCTGGTGCAATCCCGCATATTGCCCTTATGCACTTTTTCTGTGCTACAAATACCCTTTGTATGTCCGTACTATTTCCCCAAACAATAAGCCCATATCGCAAGACCGATTCCACATAAGCAAAATACGCTGTTAGAGCCGTATTTTTAGTTGCTGTTTTAGTAAGTTTAAAAAGTGCGTAAGCAAATCTATTTATTTTATTGCATACCTTGTCTACATGTAATTTCCAATCAATTTTTTGGTCAAGCTCAATGCCCAGAAAAGTAGCACTGCTTGTTTTTTTAATACAATGATTCCCATAATGTATATTCAATGTCTGATTGTAACCGTAGTTTATATAATGTGTTTTGTTAATATTGATTTTTAAATTGTTATCATTAAGCCACGTTATTATCGATTCAATTGTTTTATTTATGTCATTTTCATGGTAATTTATGTTTTGATTTTTATCAGTTGTTACTACAACTGAAATGTCATCAGCATATAGGATGCATTTATGTTTCGTCACTTTAGGTAACTCATTCACATAGATTAAAAACAGCAAAGGGCCGAGAATGCTGCCTTGGGGCACACCATAATTAGTTTCTGTGAAATTTGATTGTTCTTTATGTATCACTTGTTTATTACTAAGTTGAGCAATTTCCACTGACTGCATCCTATTTTGAAGGTATGACTTGATCCAACTTAGTGCTTTACCTCTAATTCCACTTTGCTCCAATTTAAAAAATAGTTTATTGTGTGATACAAAGTCAAAAGCTTTTGACATATCAAATAGAAGGACTGAAGTTTCCTTCCTATCATTTATACTTCTTAGAGTATGATCTACTAACTCAAAGGCAGCAAGTGTAGTCGATTTATTTTTCAGGAAGCCATATTGGTTATCATTCAATACTTTGTACTTAACAAAGAATGACGTAAGTTTATCATGCATTATCTTTTCATATATCTTAGATAGAATTGGTATTAGTGTAATTGGTCGATAATTGTCTAACTCTAACCTAGAACCTTTTTTAAAGAGTGGCTTAACAATTGAATATTTCAGTTTATCTGGGAAAGTCCCAGTTTCCTTATTTACAATAGTATTCAGTGGCAAATTTATCCTAAGGCCCGGTAGGCCCCGGCGTAGGGCGGCCAGATTTAGGGGCGGCTCCAATCGACACACTAATCTGACAAAAATTAAAAATCATAGCACGAAAATGTTGTCGTCAATGCAGATCCATTTTTTAATGAGACAAGAAAGATTTAATTGGCTGTCGAAAAACTGCGGAGGGAAATTTGAAAATCGAACAGTGGTATTTTTATTTTTAAATAATCGGAGTTTTCAAAATAATTACAAGTAGCTAGTCTTATACATAAAAACTTTTTTTCGCAAAACTTTCTGAGTGGCCTGGTATAACACTTATTAAATCTTCTCTTATACTTTTAACCTGTAGTTAAATAAATAAAACCTAAAACCGTTTAAATGTTTATTTAATTGTGCAATTATTCCTGAAACCTCGTAAAATATTAGAAATCAGCTGCTATTATTATTATTATTTATTCTAGTAAACTTACAGTTACCCACACGTAAAAGTAACTATAAGTTCGTCTCCGTACGGATTGTGTTTCATTAGATATTCAAATATTTAACTTGCAATCAAGTGTTAAAAGTTGATAACACTCATGTAAAAGTTATCATAACTAAGTATGCCAAGTTGATAGAGTATGTCAGAGCAAATAACTACTTGCAACAACTTATGTACCTTATTCTGGCGAAATAAAACTTTTCCTAAATTTCTAAATCTATTTAGATAAAAGTTGGCAATAGAATGCAAATCCGCCACTGACAGTGTTGATTTTCAAACGCATATAATGTCACTTTGTGTCTTTGAATGTTTATTCTAAACTGAATTATAGATATTATTTTATCTGTCCTGCATTTTTTGCTACATTTATGCAATATGTACTTTATCTAAAGTTACTTAATACAGTAAAATTATTATTTAGTTATTTTTTAGTTACACAAGAAATAAATCATCAATTCTCATTAAACCTGATCTCAGGCTTTGTTGCCTGCTCTTCTCAGGATATGATGCAAGTCCGAGATCTGCTTAAATAGTTTCCTTCGCCTTGTCTGACATCAAACAGCGACCATGGACTCGCCAGCGCCGAAACCTTGAACGATGTTTTGACACCGTTGAAAACAAAACTGTACATGTGTGCCTGTCCAAAATACGGCGCCGGCGCACTATGGAAACTTTGACTCATTTTAATCCCAAAAACCTTTAACTCCGGTGTTAATAAAGATATCATCATGATTTTTTTTTATGACAATTTTGAATATATTTGCTTTTAAATAATGTATAATTTGTGTATAAAGGTTTACTTATAATAGTTTTAAGATAAACGAAATTTACTAGTAAAAGTAACTGCTTAAAATCTTTAAAGAAACATCATAGTAGCTCAAAAGTTACTTACGAGCTCCTTTGCTTCATCAAGAAGTTCTAAATATTTTTATTGTAAGGTTTTCTTAAGATGATGAAATGTACGGATCAGAGGGTATACAATAGTGTGTGTAGAACATCTTCGTTGGTGGCTGTCCTCGAAAATTTTCTTGCATGATGAAGCCTGAACTGTTTGTAGTCTTTGTTCCGTGACTCTTGAGCATCTTCCGAAAGTTCACCAAAAATATATGTTTTCACACGCTGATATTCTAAGAGATTTGACAATTTTACGCAATGCTAAAGCAAAAAAAATTTGTTGCCGTAAAATAATATTTTATTATCTGAGAAATACAAAAAAACAGAACTGCGGCAAGCTTCGGCAAATGTCAAAACTCCAACTGAAAGTTTAAGAAACGAATAAAGTACACATTATGATATAGATTTTTTTAATTAAGTAATATTAAAAAAAACTGCATAAATTTTAATTTTAAAGAAAAGAAGACATTCTAAGCTTTCTAAAATAGCATCACACTTCTATGACTTCTTTTGTTATGACACTATAAAATTTTACCAAACTAACTGAAATCATATTTTTTGTATTTTTTTCATTCCGTGACTTTAGATGTTCTTCTTTTGCGATACGAAGAGCCAGAGACTTAAATCATATTGATTAATAATGAAGTAACTCTAGCTTTTAATTGATGTATTTTACATGCCTCGAATCACAGTTATGAAAAAAAGCAGAAATAGCTTTCTTAGGCGGATTCCCATAGTGCGACGCACGTTAGAGATACGTTCAAACTGTATTCAAATTCTAGTGACCACGCTTTTATTTTCTATACACTATTTGACCACCGTAGAGTTAAAACGCCACCAGTATTAACAAAAATATTTTTTTTTTACTTTTTTTATTTTGCAAAGCCAGTATAAATTTAAAGTGATACATACTTAATTATATTTCCGTCACAGTTTATCCAGCAATCGGACGTTTGTTAAACTCAGATATTATATTTTTAGTTCGCAAGTGAAATTTTGAAACTTTTCGATGAACTCTTTGCTAATTTAAAACAAAAAACTAACCGTTTTGAAAAAATATTTCAATATGTTGTGGCAGTTGTTTTTAATATGCTTACTGATATGGATCCTGGTTGTGCGATGGCAAAACAGGGGCAAAAGGGAGGTGGCCAAGTATTTGAAAAATAATATAGGTAATTTACCATTTCTGGGAATCGGCCATAAATTTATCGGCAGTGATGAAGGTATGTACTTATCTATTCTATATCTTTACTAATATTATAAAGGGGAAAGATTGATTGTTTGTTTGTTTGCTTGTATTGAATAGGTTCCAATACTACTGCACCGATTCGACTTTTTTTTAAATTTAGATTCTTTCAATATCCGTTATGAACATAGGCTATATATGTATTTTCAAATAAATTAATAGTTTCAAAAACAAAAAACACGCTTCATTTACTATACTAATGAAAAATAATTTTCCACAAAAGAATGGCAAATCATTTAAATATCCTAGACACAGGAAGTGACCCAAAATTTAATCCTAGGGATCACCCATTTCCACATGAAATCCAGATGATCTAACACCATTTATCTCTACTGTTTCAATTCTGGAACTGAGGTACGACTGTAACAATTTATATGCAGTACCTTTGACTCCATAATGACTCAATTTCAAAAACATCGTGTGATGACCAACGCAATCAAAAGCTCTGAATAAATCGCAGAACACACCAAGAATATTCTGCGATCTCCCCCAAGCCTCCTATATACTCCTTACAAGTGCAACACCCGCATCGGTTGTAGATCTATCTCTGGTAAAATCAAATTGTTTGCTATGCAAATTTTATTTAGATTGAAATGAGGCATTCATTGTTCCAGAATAATTCTTTGAAATATTTTACTAAGAACTGGTAATTTTTAATATAGGCTTATAATTTCCAGGGTCATTTCTATTCCCTGATTTAAAAAGAGGTATAACTTTACTGTATTTCATCAGATCCTGAAATACTCCTTGATCAGTAGTTATTAAATATATCAACCAGATATGGGGCAATAACCGGTATTATACTTTTAATAACTTTAGTAGAAATACCCCATAAATCACTTTTATTTTTTGTTTAAGAGATATAACACACTTAATAACATCAAAATAATGTCTGAACTGAAACACGTTATTACACCTAGGTATATATTTCTCGAGCAATGCAGCCAACTCTGAAGAACTGAAATTAGATGTAGCCACCAAAGGAATATTAACGAAATATTCATCAAAAATATTAGCAATAAGTTCTTTAGATTTTATTAGAATGTTATTGGACTCAGGTTCAACAATATCGTCATGTGTCCTTTCTTTGCCTTTTTCACGATTTATAACATTCCACGTTGTTTTGATTATATTATAACATTTACATATGTTATTTTTAATAAAATAAGAATTGGCTGTTACACACACAGTGTTTTGTTTTTATAAATGATTCGTACGTCATTTTTGTTAATCTAACGCTAATACCTATTAAAATTATTGCCCATAAATTTCATCTCGATGACTTTTTTACATCCATATACATTTTCTTATTTGTCATAGTATAACTATTCTGGCCATAAATACTGTTACAAAAATACTATTCTTTTTTCAACTTTTTAATTATTTTGAATTCGGAACACGTATATTATAATTTTTATTATTTTTGAAGCATGTAACTGCTTGATGTTTAAATCTAAAGAAAATATAACTAGAAAAAAATTCCACGCGGACCAGCTGCAGCTTAAGAATAGCTAGAAAGAATTTCGACGCGGTCCGTGAGGGCCGCGGTAGCATAATTGGTCAGTGCATTCGCCCGGATTGCGAAGGGTGCGGGTTCGAGTCCCGTCTGCTGCCTGGTCCGCGTGGAATTTTTTTCTAGTTATATTTTCTTTAGATTTAAACATCAAGCAGTTACATGCTTTAAAAATAATAAAAATTATAACTATAATTGCTATTTCTTCTTTCAAATGTTTAATACTTGTAAAAGTATTCATTTGACATTGTGGGTTTACCTATAATGCGAAGAGATGGCGCTGCCTTGCAGCTTAAGAATAGCTAGAAAGAATTTCGACGCGGTCCGTGAGGGCCGCGGTAGCATAATTGGTCAGTGCATTCGCCCGGATTGCGAAGGGTGCGGGTTCGAGTCCCGTCTGCTGCCTGGTCCGCGTGGAATTTTTTTCTAGTTATATTTTCTTTAGATTTAAACATCAAGCAGTTACATGCTTTAAAAATAATAAAAATTATAACTATAATTGCTATTTCTTCTTTCAAATGTTTAATACTTGTAAAAGTATTCATTTGACATTGTGGGTTTACCTATAATGCGAAGAGATGGCGCTGCCTTGCAGCTTAAGAATAGCTAGAAAGAATTTCGACGCGGTCCGTGAGGGCCGCGGTAGCATAATTGGTCAGTGCATTCGCCCGGATTGCGAAGGGTGCGGGTTCGAGTCCCGTCTGCTGCCTGGTCCGCGTGGAATTTTTTTCTAGTTATATTTTCTTTAGATTTAAACACGTATATCAGTTATTATTTATACTTTCATCATGTTCGTCTGTCTGTCCACCCTCGATTTTGCTTGGAGACTGTTAGCACTAGAGTGCTGTAATTTCGTGGAGATATGTTATATCAATCACGCTGACAAAATGGTAGAATACAAATATGAAAAATATCTTTTTGTGTAGATTCTGAACCCTACCCCTTACCCTACACGTTACCTGGGTTTTTTTTCATCGTCCGCCCCAATATATGGGGTATCGTTAAATAGTTCCTTTAAAATTACTTATGGATTCTGAAAACTTAGATTTTTCGATTTAGGGATCCGTTCAAATAGTCATAAATATAATATATATATATATATTACTATATATATACACATATATAAGTTAAAATATTTATATATATATACACCTAAATACATACATAGTGAATAATATCGGAGCAGTGTGATGGAACCACAAGCAAAAGATTAGAAGAAGATTCAATATTTTTAGTATGAAAGGTACATAAGTACTGAAATTGAGAAGTGTGATAAGGGGGAGCATTTAGAGAATCCAGCAAAGAGAACAGGGTGGTCAGATCCAGCATACTTCTGCGCTGCCTGGCATCCATTTTTATAAAGAACGGTATGCGGACACACGGTCATATTTTCTCAGATTAAAAACGAATTGAATATGTACAGTTATTCTGAACGCGATCAAGTTTGTTGAGTAGATCTGCATTCAGATCGAGGTAGCACACATCACCATAGTCTAACTTATTTTCTTACTAATTTACTTTTATTATCTATCTTCGATAAAAAGCTAGGCACAGGAAGCGCCGTTTAAATTATATTACTGCAGTGGCATTTTATAAAATTTAATATTAGGTCAAAAAGCAAAATGCAAAGCTGAATGATTACAGTACAACAAAACGTCGTCTTGTATATCCTCCTGAGTGAAACTGTAGTATATTTACAACATAGAAAGAAAAAATTCCTGCATCGCCATCTAACGAAATTCGCTCGATGTTTTACCTTAATTTTATAGACAAAACATATATCAGCCATGCTGAGCGGCGATTGGCTGAGAAAGTAGCTTAGATTTTTTTTATTGTTAACTTCACGTCGACGATGCCTTCGGTACCGGGACCTCGTGATATGATTCTTTAATTTTTTTTATGAAAAACTCTGTTGTTTGTAAAGATTTTAGTAGTTAATTGTTAGCTTTGATGCATTTATCGTAATAACACAACGTTATTGTATTTCACCGCACAGACAACTAAAATATTAACAATAAAAGCTTTATGTTGTACTAGTAATACATTGGTTCTCAACGACTTATGTGTACACAGAATGGCCAGTGTAGTAACTATACAACATAAGACATTTTTACTTTCCATTACATTTTTTGGTATTGTTTTGTTAGTTTTTTCGGGATAATGAAATCAATGTGATTCTTCTTAACATCTTAGAATAAAATTGATTGATTTGACGGATGAAGAGAATCCAACAGAAGAGATCTATTCAGCGCGAAATTATGATAGCCATTTTTACCCTGGTTCTTCGAATGAAGATAAGATCCGTCCAGAATCTGCACATTTTTGTGTTCTTCTATTGCTGTTACCCACAGTAGTCATGCCAGGACCAGAAGTGGCCCTTGTACGCGTGGTAGTCGGTCGAGCCGTGCAAGAACCAGAGGTATTTGAGGACAAAGCGCCACATTTTTACCATCATCGACAACTGATATATATAATACATGGACCGGTAATTTCACTACTTTAGAGAAACTTTTTTATCAGCCAAGATTTATGGAACTTAATACGGATTCATCAAGAGTTTTTTAAACACTATATAACTGACTCATTCTCGAACAGATGCAGATACAGATGCTTGACGTTACAAATAAAACATACCTTCTGAAAAAAAGGAGAAGAGTTGGAGATGACGTTCAGTACATTCATAGGCGTCCTAGTCGGCTAGTCATGGGGTCTATTAATTTGCCAGCTATAAGTACGTATTGGTCAGATAAATACGGGATTCAAATCATAAAAACTGCTATGAGTCGGAGGCGATATTTTCTATCAGGTCAGGAAAGGAAGCAAAGAAAAACATTTTTTATAGAGATTCACACAACAAACTTTTGATAGGATTTTGATAGGTAGGTATAATTTTTGCATATGTTAAAACGTAATTTATTTTATATGCAGATTTTTGTTAAAGCTTCGTAATTTTTAAGATAATAAAGCAAATCTGCTAACTGAGGTTTGTAAAAAACTACTTAGCCTAAAATTAGAAAATAAATGCCCCGTTACTTGATTTTATAGTTGTGTTTTACTATGCATTAAATTATTTATGCAGCAAATGTACATAAATAATACCGACATACCATCATTACATAAAATATTTTTTATATTGTAAACATACTGCATTTTACACATTAGGTATACAGAACTGATGTTGTATATATACTACATTGAGAAAATCTAGATTTTCCAACAGACATTTTTTTTTCTATTTTTTGAGAACATCTAGTGACATATAAAATCGATCTAGTAAGTTTTAAATTAAATTCCCGAAAACAAAAGTTGTGGTTCTCAGGAGGATATAGAAAAAAATAATAATAACTAAGGTTCGCGCTTGACGTAGCGATGAAGACGCGCCTCCCATCGATAAACAATAGATGCACGTGCATCCATCTTGCGGAGAGGTGTGGCTTCCGATGCGACGTAGGTACTCGCAGTGCGTAAACAAAAGATGCATCAGCGACAATATTGCAAGAGGTGTGTCTGCATGCGCGACGTCACGGATCACGCCACCGCTACGTCATACATAGTATGACGATGACGATACATGATCTTTAGCTGTGTTTAGTTTACTAGCACACTACAATTATAGTGTTACAAAAGTTGAGATTGACTTCTCCTCAGCATTCACAGAAGAAAATTGCTTCGCAAAAAGGTCAGCGATTTCCTGATCTGTAGAGGCAACAGTGTCTTTCGAGTTATTTTTTGCTGGGAGAGTGGAAAGTTGCGCCTGTCTTTCACATAACGCCAAAATATTTTGAGATTTTTGCAAATGTTCGATTCCATTTTATTTTTACAATCACTGATACAGATATGGACTAGTTTATGACAGTGTTGCTGCAAAAGTTCAAGTTCAGCCTTATCTCGCAAATTACCAAACCTGCGATATGTTCTCCTAATTCTGTCCTTCTCGCTCAAGAATTTTATTAGATTGTTATTGAACCAAGATGGATATTTAGCTGTCTGAAACTTTAGTTTGGGGGCATAATTTTCAATTAATACCATTCAAAAAACCATAAGTTGCAAAATTTTGTATTGCCCAGAACCGCCTGTCAATAAATTTTCTTGATTTCATCCGTAACTGTCGTGTAATCAGTCTTGTCAAAACTGCGACCCTCGCGTTTATTTGGAAGGAGATTCTGTATACTTTTGTAGCCAGAATGAGGCAAGGTAAAAAGATTATTGGGATGATATGCATCCGAACTGTCCAAATATGGATAAATAGTTTACTAAGAACATCTAATGGTCTTGAAATAAATGCATTTTCAACATTGCTAAATGCAAGATCTAAAATCTTACCAACTATATTTAGTAATAATTTACCATTGAATTGATATAAGTTATACAGTGACATAAAATCAGTTATAGAAAAATCCAATTTATTACCATAATTGGTAGGTGGCAAATGACTGCATTTTTCTTGATTATTCCAAGTAATGAAGTCCAAATTAAAGTCACCCAACATGACCACCACATCCATGTCACTTATCACTGCATCAACACTATCCAGGAAGCGTTGCTGTTTTTCCAATTTAGCAGGTAACGGCAAATACACAGCACAAATCAAGCGGATTCGCTTACGCCCATTTAATTTCTGTTCGACATTGACCCATAAATCTTCCCAGTCGCTTTCTAACTTATTATTTTTGGAACAAACAGGATCCCTACGGCATTTAACGTAATGTGATTCTATAAATTCACTATTAAAAATGCTAGAGAAGCTAGATTCATTTAGAAGACTGTTTTTAAAAACATCCTTAGTCTCAGTTCTAATATCACGAATATTTTGTTAATAGATATTGAATTTAATAACGACCATATCTATTTTGGATCAAGAGCAACATGGATATTATTTTTGAGCAACTTCAAATCTTCAGTGTCACGAATAAGAAAAAATGTGCCAGACTCGTTCTTTTCTTCGTCATTTTCGAACAGGCACATTAACTTCGGAACCATAAACAGTTTTCGGGAACGAATGGAATGAGTCATGTTTGAGAATTCTTTTTATCTCTACTTATAAGAAAACTTTTTTTTACTTCGAAACAATATAGGTAGTTTAGGGCAAATTTTTTGATGACATTGAAAGAACCTTCTTTGACAATGTTAGCCGACTAATTTGTAGAGTGGATACAATCTACTGTATGTCAACCTAAATTTATCGTTTAATACTTTGAAGTATCGAAATTACAATAAATAATAAAAAAATGGTTTATATGTTAATTTTACATGCTTACAATGTTTCTCGAGCTAAGCAGCTATTATTCAAAATAATCTTGCAAGTATTTTAGGCTTAATTAAAACAAAAATCTCAAAATGAAAATGAAAAGCTAACAGTTTTCATTTCGTCAATTTGAGGTTAACATTTCGAACAGTTTTCTGTCAAATTCAACTTTTCCTTTGAAAGTTTTGTGAATTAGAGTAGGCTTGTAGAATTTAATTGTCAAACTATTTCGGGCGAACCAATTTTCGAAATGAAAAGGAGACAGAGTAAGGAACGTGCGAATTTTCGATAGAAACTTTGTTTTTCGTTGAAATAGAGTAGAGCTCCAGACCCTAATTAGATAAAGAGAGATAATAATACCATTATCTCTATATTATTATATTTTTATTTTAAGGATCCAACTGCTAGACTTTTAGATCCAAATCAATTATTTCACTCTTACATTAAAACAAAAAGAGAAGATACGTTACGCGCATACTAACATCAAATTCAATATGCTCTGACTCAACTACATAAACAACTGTCACACACGCACACGTCTGTAATTAAACATTCAATCGAGCGAGTGAGACAGATCTGTACCCCTAGCACGAACCATTATCGAATTCGAATAGTTTGCAAACCGAAATGTCAATGTCAAATTTTGTATAGAAACTCGAACAGCAGCGGCACAAAGTACGTAACGAGATCTAAAAATCAGTACACATTTGACAATGACATTTCAGACTCGCAAACGATACGAATTCGATATTGGTTCGTGCTAGAGGTACTGTACGCTTCAACGCTAAGCGAGTGAAACGGCGAGTCTGTGTCCGAGTCCGCGCGGCTGAGCTGTATTGTTGTCCTTTTCTTGATAACAAAATGGCAATTACGTAAATAACATTCACGACAAACCGTGATTTATGAGAAAACATTGTTTTTCCAGTTTTACGAATAAAAAGTGTTGCCGAGGCATTTGTTATTTGATTTTGAACTCTAGGTGTTCTTTATAAATCAAATGCATTATTTTATCTTTATAACACAGATTATACGCAATATTGTTATATTGAGTGCACATGCAGCGTGTTTGAATGTCCAATTGTGACTTAAGCGAATTGTGGTCATGCACAATTTGAGCGGATCAGTTATGAGCCGCGAGTGTCATATATTCCCCTTTTGTTTTAATCTAAGATTTTACTAGAAAAAAATCCCCTCCATCCAGTTTTCAGACGAGATTCGAACTCGCATGTTCCGTTATCCGGGAGGGCGCACTAATCAATTATGCTAATGCTCTCAAATGTTTAGTACCTGAGGTATTACATTTGACATTGTGGGTTACTTACAATGCAGCCTAAGAGATACTAGAGATATTTCGACACGGCTAACTTCAAATGCACTAACCGATTATGCTATCGAGAGCATAGGTAACAACGATCTCGGTAGCATAACTAGTTAGTGCGATCGCCCGGATATCCGGTCTCGGTCGCATGCACGTTCGCCCGGATAGCGGGGGATGCGATGTTCGAATCTCATCTGAAACCTGGGCCGAGTGGAATTTTATCTAGTAAGAAAAATCTTTGGATTATCTTTTATTTCAAAGTGCGCTTATTTTTTTTTATTTATTGAACGAAAGAAAGCCTGAAGAAAAACATCGAATAAGTTAGATTAATAACATTACTAAAATTATCGGTAAATTAAAATAAATTTCTAATTTCAGATCGTATGACAACTTTTAGAGCAATCGCCGCAGAAAGTAACAGAAATGATGGAATCACTTCGTTTTGGTTGGGAAATCATCTTTTCGTCAGTAAGTACCAAAACATAGATTAATTACTAACTAATTTTTATGTTAAGAACTAGCGGCTGCCCGCGGCTTTGTCCGCAATGACTTTAGTTTTTGGAGAATCCCTTAATAACATTTTCCTGCCGTAAAAGGTATTATTATGTCTCAAAGTAATAAATGCGTGCCAATTTTCTTCCAAATCCGTTCAGCTATTTTGCGTGAATGAACAAACATTCTTAGAAACTTTCACATTTATAATTTATAAAGGATGTTGGGAATCACTATTTAGGTTTTTTAACATGGACGGTGATAACGTTGTTCTGTTTATCAAAGGCTCCGCCCTTCAAAATTGTATGGTGAATTTTGAGTTACCTGAGAATCTTCAATAGCTAATTCAGACGATTATTATAAGTCCGCAAAAAAAATCTTTGATTTTTCTTTCCAAATGTGTCTCCACGTTATTCATCCGGCAATTAAGAAAAGTTAACAATTTTTATTGTCATGAATTCATTAAATTGTAACTACTTGTCAGATCTACTTAGGTACTTTAAACACATAATAATTCCATTAGGCAAGTATTTATAAATTTGCAGCGCTGTTTCAGGATATTTTGTAAACGATATAAATGTATATTTTTATTTGTATTTTTGTATATAACAGAACTGTTGTTAAGTTTATACACAATTTTTGAGTTCCTTGGCTAACTTAAAATTCACGGTGTATAATCTTATTTTCTTTTTAAGTGTTGTTTTACTACCTAATTTTGCAGCTATAACCGACCCAGTGGAAGCTGAAGCAGTATTGAAGAATTGCTTGGAGAAAGACAGCATCCTCCGCTTCGTCAAAGCTCTCATTGGAAACGGCAGTATATTCGCACCGGGTGAGTTAAATAATAAATATTACAGCACCAAAAAAAATAAACTATTAAAACAAAATTCATGAAAAAAGAAACATTAATAAAAGTTATCAAAATAAAATATACAATACCAAAATTACAAAAAAACAACATTTCAAAATACTAAATCCGGTATTCTCGTAATAACTAAACTGCATCTAATATTGAAGCAGCATGAAACCAACAGATAGATTATTTACATGCTTGACAGCAACTTAAAGCCACTTCTGTTTCCGTGTTTTGGGATAAGTCACATTGATGCTTTGGGGCCTCATTTGATTAGAATACAAACACGTGACCGAGCATCAAGTTTTGCGTGATACTAGGATGCGTGTAATTTTTCCTTTAAAGAAATTTACTAATTGATTCTTTCGCTCTATGCCTGATGAGCAGAATAAATCGGGCAACATGACAATTTTATTTGATCTTAGTTTTTTTACCGCCATAATGTGCACATTTTCCGGTACTATTGATCAAAAGGAAAAATTCAAATCATCTTTTTTTAGTATTCTAAATAGACTTTATGAACTGTAAGTTGTTAGTGTTACTTAACAAGAGGCCAAACACACAAATATTTAAAAAGTCCTAGCAATGTTAAAAATTACTTCAAATCTATTGAAAATCTATCAGAAAATCAAAACTGAATCTTATGCAATGCGATTGGCGTATACATAACGGTTTTAAAGTATTAATGTTTCAATTTGAATGAAAACATTGGTATTAACATTACTGATTTTTTTTTATTAGTTTCGATATGGCGACCTCGACGCAAGGTCCTGGCACCAACCTTCGGGCTGCGGAACTTGAACCAGTTTGTGAACGTCTTCTCGGAGCAGAGCAACATCATGGCAGATCGGCTGGCCGAGGCGAGTGACAAGGGGACCTTCTCGATCTGGAAATATATGACGTCCTACACAATGGACTCCGTCGGCGGTGAGTTTTATTAAGATAAGATAAGATAATAATACATAAAGTATTATGATACATGAACAACAGTAACATAAATAACACGAATAAAATACAAATACAAGGCAAAATAATTACAGTTGCACAAAGTCTTATCGCTAATCAGCGATTTCTTCCAGACAACCCAATGAGCTGGAAAAAGTAAAAAGCACGATATTAATAATGAGGGAGGTTGAGCGGAAAACAAGACAAAAGTTTTGTAAGTAGTCAATTGAAAATTAATTAAAATAAACGCAAACTAAACATATAGGCATACACAAACATTCACACATATCGTAATATAATGCAACAGTACTACTACCCTAGCAATATTTTAGTGAAAATTATGCTCATCTGACATGAAATGCTCCTTAACTAGGGATTTCAAACAGGCTAGAGTTTGGGCACGCCTAATCTTTTCCGGCAGAGAATTCCATAGTTGGATGGCACGTATGGTAAAGGAGTGGCAATACGCTTTGGAAAAGTTAGGGGGTGTGAAAAGCAGGACACTGTCAGATGAACGAAGCGGAAGATTATGAGAAGAAGAAAGAAACTGAAAACGTTCTTTGAGATAGACAGGAGCTTTTGGATTGAACAGTACTGAGAAGAGTAGGGATAATATATGCAGATCACAGCGACGACGAATGGGAAGCCACTTCAATTTCTGCCTGTAGTATGAAACATGGTCGTACTTACGTAAACCGTAAATGAATCTGATGGAAAAAAAATTGCAGACGTTCAAGTTTACTTAGAAGATCAAAGGTAAGATAGGGATAGCAAACATCTGCATAATCGAGAATAGGCAGAAGAAGAGAAGTTGCAAGAGAAATTTTAGTGGCAGCAGGCAAGAAGTTATGTAAACGTCGCAAAGAGCCAGCCGCAGCAAAAGTTCGCCTACTGACCTCAGCAATCTGATGACACCAAGATAGAGTGTTATCAAATATGACCCCCAAATTCGGAACTGTTTCAGCAAAAGGGATAACAATTCCATTTAAAGTAACTGATAGGAGCTGCTTAAAGTCAATCCGAGATATAAAGTAAGGACTACCAATAAAATGCACTGCGTTTTTATTGGATTGATTTTAAGTCCAAATGCATTGCTCCATTCGTAATAAGTGCTAAGTCTGCATTTAGGTTATTTATTGCATTATTTAGGTTTTCCAGTCAATCCTGTGTGTTAATCTGGAGATTGTCTGCATACAGATGGCAGCTAGAAGTTAATTTGTGGGTAATAGAGTTAATGAAAAAACCGAAGAGCAAAGGAGATAGCACGCCACCTTGAGGAACACCGGCCATTAGAGTACACTATTGAGAGATCGATGCACCTAAAATTATACGCTGTCAGCGTCCATGTAGATAACTGCGAAACCAGTCAATGACCGTAGGAGATATGTTAAGAGAACGCAGTAAACTCAACATGATTTCGAAGTCAACATCGTTAAAAACATTACTAAAATCTAATAAAGTTAAAATTGTGAGTTTCTGACTCTCCATGCCAAAACAAATATCATCGGTAATTTTGACGAGTGCACTAACTATGCTATGGCCAGGACGAAAACCAGATTGTAAGGGATTTAGCAAGTTATTCATTCAGTTGATTGTGTATAAGACACTCAAGAACTTTGGAAAGGAAAGGAAGAATGGAAATAGGTCGGAAATCGGACATAGCATCAGGAATTGATTTTTTGGGAAGTGGAATAACATGAGCATCTTTTCAAATTCCTGGAAAACTTCTAGAGGAAATGGATTTATTGAAAATATTGGTAATAACTGGTGTTAGAATGTCGAGTAAGGGGATAATCATGTTACGGCCAATATTGTCATTACCCACCGCTTTATAATCAATGGCACGAATGTTCTTTTCGACATCACTATCGGAAAATTGACTAAAAGTAAACGGAGCACAATCTGGTGTTGGCAAAGAAGAAAGATGCCTTATAGTTTTCTCTTTGACATGAGCGTCAAGAGCAGACGATACAGAGAAATGACTATTAAAGCGGTTGATGTCTAAACGTTGAGCCAAATTCTGATTTCGGGATTTACAAACGAACTATTTCATAAGTCAATGATATTAGGTAACTTCAATAGCAGGATAATATAGTAAGAAGCTTAAGAATCATCTCAGAAAAACTATAACCTAATTAATTGAATAAATGCTTAGTACATTGTACGGAATTAAATAGAGCAAGGCCAGACTCGCGCTTGACCAGTTTTTTACATTAACGACACACATAACAAGGTAATTGCATTTTTAGATAATTTATAGTCTCGTGAGTCTGAAAACTAGTTTGAGAGCTAGTTCAAAGTCTTGAGCGTCATTTAACAAAAAGCTATTCTGTAGCACTAATATCAAGTATCTAGTTTGGCAGTATTAGCTATATTGATTTGTCTGCATATATTAAAGAAAAAAAAGTTGAAGTACGAGTCGGAATTGCACACAAAAAGTTTCGTACTATACTATATGTACAAACTTTGACGGTCTTACTACGAAAAAGTTAGGCACGGTTTTAAACCTTGTTTAGGCAGATTTTTGAAGTGAAAACTTCTTTAGCGGCGTTGTACACTTTTTTTTGTATGGGTAAACATGTTAAACTCGCGTCAGGTTTAACACGTGGCTGATCGCATCATGACACACAATAAAATTGGAAAGGTTGTTGACTTTCAATATATTGGACGAAACATAGTAATATTATATTTTATCATAATATAATAATAAGTTTCTATCTAGGACGTCCACGTGGCAGCTTTATTGCGATGAAAATGCATTTTTTTTACAATAGATGTCGCTAGTTGCGCTTAAAAGTGATTTATGTAAATTGATTTTTCTGCGAGATAAACTTTTTTAATGTAATATAAATTGTCATTTTTGTGTACGATAGAGCAATAAATAAATATTTTATTCAACCACATACATGATAGTACTTTTATACTGATAATTAAAGCAATTCGTGCAAAATTATTCCCTAACCATTCCAAAATATCAAAAATGCACAACGTTAATATTCAAGTTTTCACTTCTGCCGGCACTCCCGGAGTGCAATCCGTTGTTTTTTTCTTCAACTCATGTCAACTCATGTTGAACTAATATCGAACGAAATATAAATATTTTTTTGGTAAAAAGGTGAAATTTAAAATAAAGTTTAGTGAATTATATTTAAGCTAAACAAAAAACTTATGACCATTGTAAGAAGCTATTGGGTCAACAGAAAATAATCCATTCCAAAATTATAGCAAATTTCGAAGATATATCAAAAACTAGTCCTGTCCTACTAATTTTAACATACTATTTTGTAGTTACGTTCGGCGCTCGAGGTCACAAATTTAAATTGTTCATTGGACCAACAATATAATCAATTCTGCAAAAATCGGAACTACTCCGACGGGTACGATCGTCGATAACACTAAAAGTCGCTTTACAAGCTTATGTTCTCGAATTCCAACGAAATTTAGCCTTCAGACGGCTTCGGTCGGCTAGACGCGCGTACCACTTAGATTAAAACAAAAAGGTAGATACGGTACGCTCATACTAGCATCAAATAAAATATGATCCGACTCAACTACATAAGCAACTCTCACACACGCACAACGTCTGTATATAAACATCAATCGAGCGAGCGAGACAGAACTATACGCTTCAACTCAGCGTATTGTTGTCCTTTTCTTGCTTACAAAATGGCGATTACGTAAATAATATTCACGACAAACCGTGATTTTTCAGAAAAAAATGTTTTCACAGTTTTACGAATGAAAAGTGTTGCCGGGGCATTTGATTTTGAACTATTTGTGTTCTTTATAAAAGCATCGAAGGCATTGTTATATCTTCACAACACAGAAAATACTCAATATTGTTATATATTGAGTGTACATGCAGCGTGTTTGAATGTCAAATTGTGACTAAAGCGAATTATGGTCGTGGACCACAATTTAAGCGGATCACATTTGATCCGCGAATGCCGTATCTTCCCATTTTGTTTTAATCTAAGGCGTATGATAGCCTGCGCTACGCTGCGCCCCGACGCTGCTTCATAAGTGTGAATCGTACAAAACACTACCTTCTGATGGTGTTGTGTTTTTCTCGGTCAGTAAGGTTCCAGGGCTTTAGGTCGTAGTGGTTTGGGTCAGGGCAGGCAACGATGCAAGTGATATTTTTGGTATCGCAAGCGTCTATAGAGGAGAGGAGGAGGAGCTCGATGGCGCAGGTGGTTAGCGCGTTCGGCTGCGATCGTTGAAGTTAAGCAACTTTCACCAGTGGTCGGTCATTGGATGGGTGACCATGGCCATTAATCGTTAGGCACGTCAAGCCGTTGGTCCAGGCTGCATCTGCACTCGTTAGCACCCGCCTATCTGCACTGGGCCCGCGTGGTGGGTAATAGCCCTATCTCCCTATTCCATCCATAGGGAAGGCCTGTGCCCCAGCAGTAGGGAATTATTAGCCTGATGATGATGATGAAGCTTACCATCAGGCTTGTTTACCACCCTTTTAACATAAAGAAAAAACTTAAGGGTTCTTCTCTTATAATCAAACAAGTATTGGCGTGACTAATAAAATACACATATAAGTAGTACTTGTATTGCCGAAGCAAAGATAAATAAAGGAATGTGATTTAGAATCATGGTGGATGGATTCATCATTGTTAACACATAGGGAAAGGAGCGTTATAATCGAAAAATTTAAAAAGTTTAACTCACACAAGCTTTTCAATCCCGAACAAATAATTAAAATATATTAATCCTTTTATATTAATATGATATATTTTTTTTTAGTTTTTTTTTAGATATAAAAAGGCAGACGTACGGATCTACGGTGCTTTTTCCTTGATTTATAATGTAGTTTTAGCCGAAAGCTTCAGGATCTTGATCTCTTTGTAATAAACTTATTTTGAATCAAGGAATGAAATTTCTCGGATTTTCTATCACTTTATCTAAATAATCTGTTCGGTTAGCCTAGACTCTAGATTCTTTTTGTTTTTTTTTTTATTTTTATTATTACCGATTGTTAAAATATCTTACTTACTAGTTTTGTGTATGCAATGCATATAAGTATTTTGATTACATCAGCATCATTTGACATTCAAAGGTTGTTTTGTAATGAATTTCAAAATAGTAAAATATTCAGCTGAAAGTAAAATGTCCAATCTTGTATACTTTTGTCCGAATTAGACGCAAACTACTTCGTACATTCAGAGGAATATTTTACTGGATATGTGGGGTGCAATAAATAACTTTATAGGTGCTTGCAACAGTGCCGAAATATCGGGGACGCGCAAATAACGAAGTAAATTGTAGCAATCCCCTGAATAACATCATCATCATCAGCCTGTTAATGTCCCCACTGCTGGGGCACAGGCCTTCCCTATGGATGGAATAGGGAGATTGGGCCATGACCCACCATGCGGGCCCAGTGCGTATTGGTGGGTGCTAACGGCTGCAGATGCAGCCGATACCAACGGCTTAACGTGCCTTCCGAAGCACGGAGGAGCTCGAGATAGTAATTTTTTTGTCACCCATCCAATGACCGACCACTGCGACAGTTGCTTAACTTCAACGATCGCAGCCGAATGCGCTAACCACCTGCGCCATCGAGCTCCTCAAATCTGAATAACATAAATTTCCATAATATTGGTGCCCATGAAAATTTAAAACAATAATAAATTTTTCAGAGGTAGAGCGACATGTCTTGCCAATTTACCATCTATTACTTCAGTTACTCCGTTTTCATTGCATTTGCAACTGTGCCGAAATATTGGGGACTTGCAAATAACTCACTTACTTACATTGTTAGCAACAATTGTTTGTTGTTGAGCACAGAACACAGAAAGAGATTAGAAGGGTAATCATTGACCGTTTGAACGGGAACCAATGTCGCCGGCTCGCCCCCGATACACTTCCACCTAATAGATAACAGCCAATCAAACGACGTGACATCAAACAATCGATCCAATCAGCGGTCACACCCGAGAGCAACGACGCAATGAGAACCAAGTTTTAGTCAAGTTATAATACCTCGTTTACATGCAGCGCGAGTAAGGAGGGAAGTGGGCATGACGAGTATGTAAACACGATACTCGTCATTCCACTGCCATTGCCACTCGCGCTGCCCGGCGCTTCCCAAAAGAGCGGTTGTGTGGAAGTCAAAGGACCGGCAGCGCGAGTGGCAATGCGTGTTCACAGTCTGCGCGTCGCTTAGTTATGTGGGTTAGTAGGTACTTACAAAGTTCTATTACTATGGACAGATAGCATCCACCATCTTCTACGACGAACTTTCTTTTTTTGTACTTGATATATTTTTAAATTTCGAAGATAATTATGGATTGCAAAAAGACACGCCGCGGCTGCTGTAATTACTTCGACGTCTGCCTTTGCCGAAACTCTGAAGCGAAGTGAGAGGTAAGGCAGTATGTAAACACATAATTCTCTCAATCATGCCGCAATAATATTAAGGGAATTATTGCCGGCAACGCGAGGGGCAGCGGCATGGGCATAGTCTAAACGAGGTATAAGCATAATTAAAATAATAATTATGCTCACACATAATTTTGGCGCGTTGCCCCGCCCACAAGGCCTTTCTCACCGCTTTCTGTGTTCTGTAGTTGCTACCATGTATCCCGCTAATTACAGTTAATACTATAATGAATAGAATATTTTCAAAAATAGTTAGGGGCACTATCTTTTCTTTGGTAACATTGTGACTAACAAACACCCAACCAAAACACAACCTGTTTTTGATTCCTCATATATCACTATGTCTATAGATCTTTTTATAAAAAACTACTAAAAAAGTTTTTATATCCTTTTTACTATTCAATAAAATACTATTAATTCTATTCAAAATTCGTGGTGTTAATTTGTTAGATGTCTCTGCACCGGTCTGTAATTGACACGTTGTAGATACTTTTTATTTCATGATGATTAAGAATCGCCGATACCACCGTCAAGTTTTTGTTAGTTCTGTATAAATTAACATTAATTATTATTCATAACGTTTCCCTGATAGATTATACTAAGTAGATAAGACGTAGGTCTTCGACACTGCAAAAAATAATAAACTAGTCGAAAAGTTCATGGACACCATTATGTCATTAAGTGAATTACCGATTCGTGGTACGAAACCACGAATCGAGGAAAATTTCAAATTGTAACATATTATCTTTATAAACAAGCGTTTTTCATACGCTGCAATTGCCGTATTGTGACAAAATAATTGACAACAATTGAAGTTGTCCGATAATGACTGGGTGTCATATACTGAGTCAATGCATAGCTTGTAGCTATGTTCTTAACAATAATAACATTTCAATTATTACAAACGGCAACGCATAGAAACGCAAATAAGATTTAGGTTTGATGCTGTTTCATTTTTAGCGACAATAGAATATCCCGGTAAATCAAAAAGTTTTCCGACCAATTTTCCTCTCATTATTCGAGTTCTACTGTACACATTATTTCTTAAATCAATCCTGATTAGTTCCTCTATAAAATTATCTATATTTATATGGATAAATTAAAAACCATTACTAAATATGATAAATTAAAAATATGGAAATCATTTTCTCAACTAGTGGCAGAAATCATCCACTTACACACACGAGGGGATAAAAGACATTAAGTGTTTTTAACAATAGGGGTGATGACGGCGTACTGTAAACGAAACACTCCGTCAATGAAATTATAAAAAAAACGGACGAAATCCCTACCTATCTTAAAAGTAGCTAAGTATCTATTTTTAAAGTAAATTCTTATTTTTATTCCAGAAACAACAATGGGTACCAAATTGGGCATACAAAAGCAGGACAACCACCCATTCTTGGTGAAATTTGAAAGGTTAGCCGAATTGGTGGTAGCGCGCACCCTGATGCCATGGCTCCACACAGACTTCATATACAAGTTCACACCATACTATAAAATTTCCATCGAAATGATAAACTACATGACCAGTTTTGTCAGAAAGGTACGTACGCTAGAGCAAAGTAAAATAAGTATAATTTTAATAAAAGAAAACTTTCCCATGTCATTTTCAACGCATTAACGTCATAAGTATGATCATTAGCCTTTTGAACAGCTCATTCTTTTCAAACAATAAATAATATAATAGGCCTTTTAATTGTACTTGTATCCTTCTTTCCTTCAGTCGTAGTATTCATTCCTTTTTTCTTTCTTTTCCTTCACAGAGCTGCTTTCAGTTTTCTGTTCTATCTTTAGCGTAGTCAATAGCGTCACTGATGATGGTGCTGAGACACTTTGATACCGGATCTGTCCAACTAGTAGAGCTGATGCGACCTCTTGCGCTTTTACGCTCGAGCTTCCATTTTTCGTATCAATCAGTTTCTCCAGGTTATCAAAGGGTTAACCGGCCATGTGCCCAAAGTATTGCAACACTTTTCGAGGCAGACACTCGAAAGCCTCTGTGTTACATTCAACTCCTTCAAAATCGATGCATTCGTTCTACGGGCCATCCACAATATGCGTAACATGCGCCACAAGCACCACATCTTCAAAGCGACGATGAGTCTTGGATCAGCCATTTTCACCATCCATGATTCGGCGCCGTAAAGGAAATTGGAAAAGACCAAGGTTCTGACTATGTACAATTTAGTCCTCTTTAGTATAAATCGGTCTCTCTATACTGTCTCCAGTTCTATCATTGCTGATTTCGCCATTCCAATGCATCGTCTGATCAGATGTTATTAGCATGATAGTCATTGTCCCGTCAACATAGTCTTTGAATGGTGGCGCTCAAAGCCTTCTATTCTTCCTTATCGGCAGGGGTTTTCAGTCCACACGAGCTCAACTGCTTTCTGCGCTCAAGAAGTCTCCACGTCTTTTCACTGATCCATCCTCTTATCATTTTCTGCGGTTTCCTCTGCTTGGCAATGTCCTTTACAGCTTTCAATATTTCGGTTTTAAATGTTTGAAATTGATCCTCCGCAGCGTCAAACCGGTTATCATTGCTCTTGGTGAATGCTTCCTCTGTCAAGTTTTTAAAGAGACCAGATTCCGTTGTATTGAGTCTAATTGGGGCCTTTCCGGTCCAGTTATGTGCTTTAAACCGAATTTACTTCAGCGGAAACCAGTTAATGGTGCGTATTGTAGTCGTCGCGCCAGGATAGGTTTTGGAGTTGATGACACTGGATCGCCACCTCTGGTCTATGGTTATGAAGTTAATTTGGTTTCGATGTCTGTCACCCGATGACTTCTAGGTATATAATCTGCGTTTATGGTTTAAAAAACAGGTGTTTGTAATTGTAAGCTTGTTGCCAATGCCACTGTATTTTCTGTTTAAACCGTGTATTTTTTCCATTTATTGATTTATAAGTTATTGTTATCGTCAGTTAATTTAATAGGTATTTAATTATACCTTTATTATTTACCTAAAGTCGACCTCCCTAATAATATAAAATAAATGCACTTAATATTGTATTCTCATCAGAAATATGGCTTGCTATTCAAAATAATTGAATGCAAAATTATAATTTGTTTATGAATTCGTTGCAGATTATAAAAGAAAAACGAAAGGCTATAGAAGACGGCAGCAACAAAAAAGATGCCATCGATGAACAAAATAATGGTAAGTATCAGTATATTTAAACACGAATACCTTTTTCACGTTAAATTTTCTTTTGAAATTGGTTTCATCCAGTTTTGAAGTTTTTTTAGGCGATATGGCGAAGTTTTTTTTATGTGAAACTTTAAAAAAACTTCGCCATATCGCCATTTTTCGTTTATCTTTAGCATTTCGCATTACAGGTTTAATTGTTATTACAAATTCAGACCCTATTGCTTGTTAATAGGGTCTGAATTTGTAATCGGTGGTTTAGTGGTAGAAAGCTCACTCGGCCCGGGTTCGAATCCCAGCCGAGGAAGGACTTTTTTTATTAACGATTTTAAAAGTTTAACTTGCGTCGTGTTTCCATAAAACCACACCAATTTTTTATGTTCTCTCTAGACATGGGTTTCGTCTAGTTCTGAAGTTTTTTCACATTTTACTATTTTCAAAGGAATCAAAGGCATCCGACATTTCATCAATTTAATTCAAATTCAAATTATCATTCAAGGAAAAAAAAGAGAACCACGAAATTATTATTATTATTTATTAATAAATAAATTATAAATTATTTTTAATAATTTCGTACATTATTCAACTAACTTCATCTACTTGTGCTCATAAACAGCTAACTTCACAGATAATACTTACCGACGGCAGCGCGGCTGGTGGCTGAAAAATGAACTATAAATTCCACAAATTTTCAGGGACAGGCGGGCTAATGCTTTAGCACGTAGCGATCGTCTCCTTCTCTCTAACCATCATGGTTCTATTTTTAAATTACACGACAGAAATGAGTTTACTATGTAATTTATTGAGCTGCTAAAACCATAGAGCAACGCGGCCTATGCGGCCAGAAGGGGAGTGACACAATACTACTGAAATCATTCTGCTAATTTTTCCGGGGGGAGGAATCTGCACACTAAATACAGTAACGCAAAAAACGAGATTGTAATTAAGACACTCACACATAAAAAATGACAACACTGAATCGTACAGATTTTTTATGGACAGATCTGAAAATTGTTACTGGCGAGCAACGATATTAAATACCCTAGATACACTAACACGAACAAAATGGTGCCCGAAACCTGTCCAAAAGGTACATTGGGCGATCCACGGAGCTCCGTAAGATGATCGCGTAGTCAAAGACAATATAAAGCATTATTTAAACATTGTAATTCACCTTTAATGCAAACTGTATAAGGTCTTAATTAAAATGCATGCGTCAAAGAGTGACGACAGTTCGAAATGCAAGCTTGTGTAATTTTTACGACTCATTGCTATATGCGGAAGAATCAAGACGTTATTTCTTTGACTCTACGTACAAATATGAATACGCTTATAGCAATATGGCAGGTACGGACCGCGAGGAAAAGAGACGGCTATATTACTGACCATGCGTTTGAATATCACAAATATTTTCTATTTAATCAGTTTATAGTAGGTATTAGAACAAAATTTTCTTCAAATGCGTTAAATTAACAATCATTAATTAGATTTCTGTCGAAAAAAAACATACTTTACATACTATAAGTACTTTTTTCTCATTTTTTTCATGGAGCTCTGCGGCAACTTGACTTTTCAACGGTTCGCGCGTGACTGTGTACCTAGTAGGAACACAGTCACGCGCGGAACGTGAAGTGAGTGAGTAAGAAGTTCTTGAGTGGTGTTCAAGCACTTCTTGATTGGGACATATTTTGAACGCACGTGGTGTGTCTAGGGCATTTGATATCGTTGCTGGCGAGTCGATTGTTATTTAAAAAAAATTTAGTCCGATGATTGAATTTCTGTAAAATAAAATTTATTTTCTATTTAAAAGTGATTACATAGAATTAATAGGTTAATAATTCTACTTCCATATGAAATTTAACACCAATATTGCAAATGTGTTTTTACAGGAATTTACTGAACAATTTGCCATTTTTTGTACTCTGACTTACACTCTCTCAATTTGAATCAGTCTAGTGAAATATCCGAGCGCAACTAGTTTTGTTTTTGAACTGACAAAACAGCGGGGGAAAATCGACAAAGGGGAATGCTGTGAATGCCCACTCCCCTCCTGGCCGCGTCAGCCGCGTTGCTCTGTGGCTAAAATACGACAGATATGGATTTTCATTTAATTTTTGCCTATTACTGCTCTCATGTATTTGGCTAGTACACTTATTTCAATTTATCTCAAAGAAGGTTGTCAAAATAATGCTCACATTTTCAAGCATGTTTGAGAAAAACAGCTTTTTTTGCTGTTGAATTCATGAGATAAAGCTTTTGCTTTCCACCGATTACAGGTACCGGCAGACCGGCCACGAAGTGTTTACTCGAGCTGCTCATCGACTACTCCGGGGGAGACAAAGGCTACACAGACCTGGAGCTGCAGGAGGAGACAATGGTGATGCTCTTGGCAGGCACTGACACCACCGCAGTGGGAGCCTCCTTCGTTATGGTCATGCTGTCCAAACACCAGGATGTGCAGGAGAAAGTTTATCAAGAGTAAGTAATCGGAAAGAGCGTTCTCCTTCCTTAAAAGTCGGAATCGGATTTGCATCCTGGTGTTGCAGGTGTCTATGGGCGACGGTGTTCACTTGCCACCAAGTGTGCCGAAAACTTGTATGCGCCGTATTAAACAAAACAAAAAACACTATTAATTCATCATTATCATCAGCCGATGGGCGTCCACTGCTGGACATAGGCCTCCTCAAAGGCTTTCAATGCATAACGGTCTTGCGCTTTTCGCATCCTGTGAGTCCATCATCATTAGTTTATCGTCAGCCTCTCAATGTCCCCAATGCTGGGTCAAAGCTCTTCCAAATGGTTTGTATAGGGAGATATGGCCGTGACCCACCACGCAGGCCCAGTGCGGATTGGTGGGTGCTAACGACTGCAGACACATCCGGGAACAACATTTTTATCGTACCTTTCGGAGCATGGAGAAGCTAGAAATTATAAATTTTGGTCACCCATCCAATAACCAACCAATGCGAAAGTTGCATAACTTTGACACGCCGATCGCGCTTACCACTCGCGCTATCTAGCTCCTCAGTCATCAACTATTAGTTATAGTGTTAGTTATTGCTGTACTACCAAAAGTAAGATGTTAGTCTAACAATAAATTTTATAACCACCAGAATCCAGTCTATTTCTTACAATTAACTGTTTTCAAAACTATCAAGAAATTTTCGATGTAATAAAGTAGGCAAACTAGCACATGGCCCTTTAGGGTTCCTTAGTCAAATGGCATAAACAACCGGAACCATTATGGATTCGTCATCTCTGTCTGTCTGTCCGTCCGTATGTCACAGTCACTTTTTCCGAAACTATAAGAACTATATATGTATAGTATATACTGTTGAAATTTGGTAAATAGATATATTTTGTGAAATAGAAAAAAAAACATAATTTTTTTTCTAAAACCCGTGTGGGGTATTTATGGATAGGTCCTCAAAAATGATATGGAGGTTATTAATATATTTTTTAATTTTCTTATTAACTAATAGTTTTAAGATTCCCATTTGATGGTGTTTAATTTAATTTAAATAGGTGGAAAAAGTAACTCCATACACCCCCAGCCCATACGTGATTACTGCCTCAACTAGTGCAAAGTATAGCATCAACAAAACGCTTTTGCTTACCATGTATTTTAGGGTTCTGAACTTACATATAAGATCCAGGAGAACTTTTCGTCAATTGTCATGTAAACAATCATATGAGTGTCCTGTTATGACTACCTTTGTTGATTTTTTATGGCTATGGGGTGACTCAATAAGCATACATTTGGTTTTTTGCAAGTTTTTTCGAAAGAGTTTTGTTTATTATCGACCATGTCACCTTTATCGTTCTAACATTCTATCGACTTATTAAACAGATTGATACCATTTTATAAGGTTTATTATTATTCGGTTGTCACGTGCCCAGCGGGCAATATAGTCAAAGTCCCCCTGTAATTCTTTTTGCACGACATTTATATCCCTGCCATTACAGACAGTACACGTGTCATACGTATACATATAAGATCTACTTTTCTTTACAACATTTGTCATGTTATTGACGTCCATTATGTATCCTATGTTGGAACGCCACACTTAATTTTACCCTTATCGCTTTCTGATAGTCAATATTAATATTCATTGAAATCAAATTAGACATATTCATCAAATTTTAACCATTCTTGCGCTAGTAACAAAAGATAGGAGAACATCACCAACCACCTCTAATAATAGTTAAAAACATGTTTCTCTGTTAATAAGTCCGACAAATGACACGATGATGACACCTGTTACAGCAGTTTTGTCTGCCACACCACCTATCCTCATTGATAAATGAGTCAATAAGCTATTTGTCTCTTAAAAAATAAGCGGCATGATTCATTTGTAATGTTTAACTATGTTATTTTTAGGGTATTGGAAGTCATGGGTGATGAGGAGAGGCCAGTCTCAGCCGAAGATCTGCCTCGCTTCAAGTACCTGGACGCAGTGGTGAAGGAAACTCTGCGCTTGTACCCACCAGTGCCCATCACCGCAAGGGAGACCGACAAAGACTACGTTTTACGTAAGCATCTACACTCGCAAGCAAAAGTGTGGAATCACTTTATTATCAGCTAAATAATGTCCCCAATGTTGGAACACAGGCCTTCCTTTCGGATGGAACATGATGATTGGGCCGTGACCAACGGGCCCAGTGCGGATTAGTAACTGCTAACGACTGCAGATGCAGCCGGAACCAAAGTCTTAACGTGCCTTCTGAAGCACGGAGAGGCTCGAGATAGGAAATTTTTGGTGTTGTGTTAAAATGTTTTCCAATGTCCGACATTTGCGAAATTTGCTTAATTTCAACGATCGCAGCCGAATGCGCTAACCACTTACACCGTCCAGTTCCTCCTGGAATCATTTACTTGAAACTCACTTACTAACTAGAACCGATTCACGTGCTTTTTAGGGGGTCAATTCTTAACTACGTAGTTCCTTAGTTGGTAATCAAGATCACGCGAAACCAATTTCAACAAGTTATATATTAGTACCTGCATATTTTTTTTCCTGTGAGCCTATATTATGATTAAAAGATTTTTATGTGTAACTGAAATGTAATGTGTTTATGAATGTTTGGGTCAAATCTTGCAACTGAAATTTAAGCAGTTATCCTCAACGCATTCAGATGAAATATTGCATGGACGTTTAGTCTGGATGACAATTCTTGTTAAGCTAAGTGAAGCCATTCTTAATCCATTAAAACGAACGTTCTTCATTCAATGTTTTGTGTAATCCCATGTTATGGGTAAATGAAAGCGTTTGTTGAGAAGAATACAAAGTACCTAACGTCTACGTTCAATTTTATAATTTAAATAGAATCTAGTTTATCTATATATATATAGAACTCAGAGGTGACTGACTGACATAGTGATCTATCAACGCACAGCCCAAACCACTGGACGGATCGGGCTGAAATTTGGCATGCAGGTAGATGTTATGACGTAGGCATCCGCTAAGAAAGGATATTGATCAATTCTACCCCCAAGGGGATAAAATAGGGAATGAAAGTTTGTATGAAACTTTGTCAATTTTAAACCGATCGGGCTGAGACTTTGCATGCACGTATAAGAAGAATCATAGATGAATGTCATTGTGTATTATAATACAAGCCTGAGAACAAAAATTATAGTCTACACTTCAGCTCTACACCGAAGCGAAGCGAGGGCGGGCCGCTAGTAAAATATAAATTTAGTACCAACAAAAAAAACAGTTAATATTATTCAATACTTTAGCTTATATCGGAGCGTGAAAAAAGAATAAATTCTCTATTTGCAGCTTCTGGCCGAAAGATCGTGAAAGGAACCGGAGTGATCATCCACATATGGGGAACACACAGGAACCCGAAGTATTGGGGACCCGACGTGGAAGTCTTCAGACCTGAGAGATTTTTTGATCTCCAACTGGCTCATCCTGCAGCCTACATGCCGTTCAGCTACGGGCCTAGGAACTGTCTTGGTAAGCAACGATATTTTCATCGTCTTCACACACACAAATTTCACATATTTCAGGGTCAACCCTGAAATTTGTCTTCTGATCTTTGTTTGCCTTCAGCACGAATAGGAAAACCATAGTCATATGAGGATTTCTTCACCTCCATGCTGATGTACAATAAATCAATAACGGCATTACAAAAGGTTATTAACTTACATTTTTTTTACCAATTAGCCTAGCCCCAAAGTAAGCACTGTAGGCTTGTGTTATGAGAAACTAGGGTAACGGATAGAATACATAAACTGATACATATATAAGTATATTTATATAGAAATACATATTAAACATCCATGACTGGAGAACTAATGCTCGTATTCATCACACAAACATCTGCCCCCACCGGGATTCGAACCCGGGACCTCTCGCGATAGCCACACATTGAAACCCGGCGTATAAACCACTCGGCCACGGAGGTCGTCACTTGGCATAATATTTATATACCTTCGAAGTGTACTCTATGTGTACTCGATCGCGTTTTTGTTAACGGTTTTTTTAAGGCATCTTCAAAAACTTTGATGAAACTTACTGAGTATCGAAAAACAGGAATTACTCGGCAGATGCTACGAGGACCTACATTTCGTTATCATATTGACAAAACTCGAGGAGCTCGATGGCGCAGTTGTTGGTTAGCGCGTTCGGCTGCGATCGTTGTAGTTAAGCAACTTTCGCAGTGGTCGGTCATTGGATGGGTGACCAAAAATTTCTATCTCGAGTTCCTTCGAGCTTCGGAAGGCACGTTAAGCCGTTGGTCCCGGTTGCATCTGCAGTCGTTAGCACCCGCCAATCCGCACTGGGCCCGCGTGGTGGGTCATGGCCCAATCTCCCTATTCCATCCATAGGGAAGGCCTGTGTCCCAGCAGTGGGGACATTAAGAGGCTGATAATGAATGATGATGAATTGACAAAACTCAGTCAGAGTAGCTTGTAAAATAAAATAAAACAAATTGAATTGAATTCTCTCTGTGTTTTAAATGGCTTTTTAAGAAAAAGAGAGGATGTTCTTAGTTCAGCTGATTTTTAATACAAAATTTTACCTTTTAAGGTTACCAATACGCCACTATGTCTATGAAGACGGCAGTCGCGACATTGGTCAGGAGGTACAAAGTCCTACCGGCGGAGTACATCGTCCAAGACGGCGACAAACCTCTCAGGGTCAAGTACGACTTCATGATGAAACACGTAGACAATTTCCAAGTACAACTAGTCCGTAGAAAATGAATTAATTGAAATCTACCGATCAAAAGGCGTCCATTAGACGTTAGATTTTTCTATGAAGTTGCTGACACTCAAGGTTATGACTGATGAACCTATTTTCTAATTGGGTTAATGATGGTGAATGATGACTTATTCAGTCAAGATTGGTGACTTTTTTATTATTCATGACTGATGGCTGCATGAGCGTCTAATGAATGCCTCAGGGTTCGTACTAGGTGAAAAGCTTTGCAATTTCAACAGCTAGCAAATTAAAATTGTTTTTTAATAATATAATCACAATACATGTTGGTAATGGGTCTTCTGTATTTAAGATTTAGGTTTAGTAAAAAACAATTATTTATTGCTAGATTACAGCATTTATAGTGTCATTGTAGAAGACACTTATTTTAATGTGACCCGCTGTTGGACTTCTTACGGAATGAAATTAATTTAATTTTGGAATAATTTATTTTTAGAATATTCTCAAACTAAGAAATTAAGATTGTTAAAAATAGATAACCAATTTGACCATTGTCTTTGCATGGTAATGACTCTTGCTAATAACCGCATAAATTTTATTTAAAGTCTGTACTGACAATCAATTTGAGATAAAAAAAGGCTAATTAAAAAAAAATTAAGGAAAACAAAAATATTTTAAAATTTAAGTAACAATCACTGTAAGGTCATTGGTTCAAAATACTTTATTAAGTGAAAGGAGAACTATTAAAATGTGTGAAATACTTGGTTTTGTTTTAAAAGCTTCGTATTGACTTTGTGATAATTTATAGGTGTAAATATGTCTATTGAATTTTGCAATTCTATACTTATTTTATCATTAAGGTAAATGAGATTTACTATTAAGTTATTAGGGGACTAGGGTCATTTATTTTATTTATTTATTTTAATAATATGATTTTAAGTATAATATATAGTTATTCCTAGATTTTTTCAACCATTCGTTTTGTACTCTGTGCAGTGCAAATCATCATTGTGAATATTTTTTATTTATTTATATTATCTTCATTGTGCATAATTTTAGCACTTTTTATATAGATTGCTCAAGTATCGCAAACAATTGAATAAGCTTTTCAAATGTCAAAGAAAATAGCTTTACTAATTACTTACTTTAATAAAAAAATGCATATATACCTACATATAACTGTCAGTAACGTTTAATTGTGATATTATTTAAAAAAAACTTAATATGGGTACCGTAGATCTTTGTACAAGTTTAAGATTTATCAATTTTATCATTTTTAGTGTGACAGTTCAGTACCCCAATCACGAAATTTGTTTTCGTACCGCCATCGTCAAAGTTTCTGTGGAAACTGAGCAGCGCCCCTACCGGACGTAAGAACAAACTAGCTTATTCTATAGAAACTTTGACGATGGCGATACGAATACTTTCTCGCTAGTTGTTCGTGCTTGAGATATAGTTCGAATGTTTGACTTAACTTTGTCCAACAAAGTCATGTTTTGCAACACGAACTTGTTTCAATAGCAAAAACTAAACAAAATATTTAAAAAATTGTCATATGCCATTTAATATTAAAACATGTCAAATTACTATTTTGTATTATGCCACTAAAATTAAAATAAGTGAAATGCCTAGCATATATTCCTACTATATAATAGCTTTGTCGTGAAAGCCTTTAGAAATTCTTTTCCAAAAGTGCAGACCAAGTGTTTTTTGATAAAGAAATCGGTACTGTTAATGTTATCAGTACTGTTTTTTTGCTAAAGAAATCGGTATTGCTAATGTTATCGGTACTGTTTTTTTTATAAAGAAATCGGTACTGTTAATGTTATCGGTACTATTTTTTTGATTCCTTGTAAAATTACTTATAAATTTTATATTAGTCATATACTTGTTTTTTTTTACTATTCGCATGCCTCCGAGATTTGAGAACTAATTTTAATGATTCTTCATAGTTTGAAGTAGTTTTCTATCAATGAGATGGTCCCTCACTTCGCTTAGGCTAGGCATTGGCAAATTTTTGTAACCGAACTTGTTTTATCAAGATTTAGTCCTTTTTTCAGAATCGCACAGAAACGTTTTTCCGGGATAACTAGTATCATGTCTCATCTAAATCCAACTAATTAACTAAATGTGTACAAAATTCATCCAAATCCGTTCAGCCGTTTTTGCGTGAATGAGTAACAAACATACTGCTGTCCTAGTGAAGATTGCAGTAAGAGCATTCGACATGTGTTTTTTTACGTTGTATCGGATACTAAAAAATTTAGTTGCATTTACTTATATATTCAAAGAAGATGGCAAAAAGTAGTGTCCACCTAGGGAGCAACTAGTTTTGCTAAAAAAAAATAGTTTTTTATGCTCAAGTGACGTACTTTAGAATCCCTTAAGCCAGCCATACACGCTAGGGTATACCTGACAGGTTTACCTGTACAGTTCAACTGCACAGGCGTGGAAACCTGCGCAGTTATGTGCCATACACGCTCCGATTTATCTGTACAGTTAAACTGTACAGGTAAACCTGTCAGGTAAACCCTAGCGTGTATGGCTGGCTTTACTTTGCTTGAGATTTTACTCCAGAATCCTTAGCTCCACTCTGGATTCAAACAAACACTCTCGCCTTTAAAATAGTTCTTTTCTCACTCAGTATACAATCTACTATTTTCATAAATTTATTAATATTATTAAAAAAAATGTTGACTGTTTGACAACACACATGCGCATCGATTTTAATTTAATAAAAATAGTGACCTTTTCAAAGGCACTAAGGACCCGTGGTTGGCGTCCGTTGGGGCCGCTTCTTGCCCGGAGTGTGTGGACGGTGTCGCGCGGCGTGTTTTGGCCCCACAATTTTGAATCTATCAGCTGATCGGCGCTGCACTACTTGACAACTACGACGCCATAAGTTCGCCCTCGAGACCATAAGCGTTGTCCTGGGTTGCCTAGTTACCACAAAGCTCTAAGGAGTCCCCCTGCGCGCGCAGCCGTCAAGATGCACGGTGTCAGTCTGCACACTGCTGCTGCTGCCAAAACTGACAATCGCCAATAGGGATGATGACTAATTTCTTTTTCTTCGTTTATCAGGTAGATTATCAAAAAGTATAGGACACATTTTTTTTTCTTTTTTCACATAATATAAACATTGCAGAGACGACACATGACGTCACGTTTTACAATTAAATAAGTTCAATTTTCACTCAAACTTTGACGCGCTATAACTTTGTCATTTTTTGGTTGATTGCCCAAAGAAAAAATACGTGTCCATTATTTTTTGATCATCTAACTGGCGGACCAAAAAGAATTTCGTTTACTGTACCCCGTCATCACCCCTATTCTATTATATTATATTTTTATAGTGCTGTTTTTTTACATATTCTGTTAAGTTAAATAGTTTAAAAGTGAATTAGTGATAAGTTTTATGCAAAGCTCAGAAGCAGGAACTTCTACTGCCTACGCATCGGTGGAGATATATGTCCAGTGCAAGCTCTGCGCGCAGCCCCAGTTTTTCAAAGGTGAGAGAGGCTTAGGTATCCATATTGGTAAATGCCATAAACCACGTAATATACATAGCTCAGCACCAGCCTCTTTACCTGTTCCCCATCCGTATCCGCAACAATATTTACACGCATCCGAACCATTTTGGCTCCAAATCGCTGGCTGACTCCAATTTTGGCTCCAATCTTCTATAATGTAAAGTTAACATCTCCAGCAGACCGCTCCATTCCGAGCGGAAAACCCGCTATGCTGAACTTCATATGCCCTACGTTTAATCTTACCAAGATGTTTTTTAAATAAACACATTTAAAAGTTGCCATCCGTTCTCCATACTGAGAATTGAAGTCCTTATTTATTTAGTTACACAACAAATAAATCGTCGATTCTCACTAAACCTAATCTTAGGCTTTGTTGTCTGCCAGTTCGCAGGATATGATGCAAGTCCGAGATTTGCTTAAATCGTTTCCTTCGCCTCGTGTGACATCAAACATCGACCATGACCGCCTGCGCTAAAGCCGAAACCTTGTACGATTCTTTGACACCGCTCGCAATAAAAATGTTCACGTGTGCCTATCAAAAGTATGGCGCCGAAGCACGTTAGAGATACGTTCAAACTGTATCCAAGATTGTGTCCACGGTTACATTTTCTATTGCACTATTGACCATCCTACAGCTCTAACGCCACCTGCAGTAAAGAAAACATTATTTTTTCCTTGTTCATTTCGCTATCCAGTATAAAACTTAATGTGACACATACATAACTATATTTCGGTCACAGTTCAACTAGCAAGCGGACGTTTTTTATACTCCGTTTCGAGCTTCAGTACGCGAGTGAAATTTTGAAACTTTTCGATGAACTCTTTGCTGTTTTAATTTAACACAAAAAGCTAACGGATTTAATAAATATTTCAATATGTTGTGGCAGTTATTTTTGATGTGCACCCTGGTATGGCTCCTGGTTGTGCGATGGCAGAACAGGGGCAAAAGGGCTATGGCCAAGTATTTGAGAAATGATTTAGATACTTTACCATTTCTGGGAATCAGCCATAAATTTATCGGCAGTGATGAAGGTATGTACTTATTTACTCTATATTATTTTTTAATAGCTCAAGAAACAGAGATCGCGGTTATACTTGATCGTAGTGCAAAATTTTGCTGCAATCTATTTTTTTACAGATGTTAGGGTAGGTGATAAGAAGGAAGAAAAAACTGTTGAGTGCTTTTTTGTTTAATACTAAATTCACTAACTTTATTGTGAAAAACTTTTTATTGTAACTCTTACCGTGTTTCAATTATTGCTGTTTATTTAAACATGTTTCAAGTTTCTCCTTTATAAAACCTTAAAATTGCTATTAATTGATAAAAAACGTCCGATAAATGTTCTTCGTTATTAAATTTTCTACAACTTTTGTATGATTTATGTTTTTTTTTTTATTAAATAAATACTTTTACAGTTATGAGTGGTAAACGTGGCGCAAAAAGGGCATTGAATTGAAGTTACAGAAGTATCGTAAAAATTCACTTACTTGCATCCAAATTTGAATGTTTTTTATGGATTGTTATCGATTAATTGCAAAACAATTATTTTAATGATAAAATCAATTTTCTATAGTGTACTTTTAAATGTTTCTATTGTCTATAAAGTAACTCGAGGAAAGGAATAAGGTTGAAAATAATATGAATATAATATATTGAATGAATGTTTAATTAATTTTTGTATTTAATTTAATTATAATTTCATTTATTGTAATGTGAATTTTAATCTGACATTTAATTGCGTGACCTCATCTATACCCATATAGAGAACTGAAAATCAGCGATTTACTCTCTGAGTAAATGTTACACTGAGTTTTCGCCCATTCGTATCGCTGCTGCACGCGAAAATATCATAGTATAGTTGTATAAATATAATTTGTTCCATGTTTTAAAGGATTTATATAATTGTAAAATTTGTCTTCAATTTTGTATGTTGGTGCGAATAAAGTTTTATCTATCTATCTTATAAAATTCATCAAGAAAAAAAAACTATAGTTTTCTACCCTTTCCAGATACAGTAGGAATATATTCGTATTCATTTAATAGAAAAAGTTTTATAAAACAGTTGTAGGAAATTTAATGAGGAATAACTTTTATTAGATATTTTTTGTCAAATAATGGCATAATTAAGGTTGTATAAAAAAATAACTACAAACATGTTCAAATAAACAACAATAATTGAAAAACGCTAAAGGTTACAATAAAAAAAATAGAAAAAAAAGTCAGGGAATTTAGTAATAAACAAAAAACCACTATACTTACATTTTTATCCTAAAGTCAATAATTTCAGAGATTTAGCGATAAACGCGTTTTCCAATATGGCGGCCAGATGGGACCACCTTATATTCCCCGATTTTTAAACTTAAGCTTCTTACGATCTACCCTAACATCTGTAAAAAAAACTAGAGTATGATAAAATTTTGTTATTTTGGTTTTACTCTATTGCTTGGCCTATACGTGACTTTTTATTTGACTAAAACTGTTGAATAATACATATTTGTTCTTGTGTATATTCTTAGGCAGCGTTTTGTTTTTATAAATGATTCGTACATGATTTTCTTAATTTAAAACTGATGTCTTTTCAAAAAATTGCCTATGCGTGGTCACTACAAAACAAAGCGGCGTAAAATTTTTCGATTCTCGATGACTCATTAACATTCATCTATATTTTATTATTTGTAATATTATATTATATTTTTAGGTGTACTTAGCTAATTTAAATAGAACTTGGAAACACAATTTACATAGCCTTTCCTTTTAACTATACCAATAAAAAGTTACGAAGTATAATTTTTAAGTACATGAACTTTTTGTTACTTAAAAATTATACTTCGTAACTTTTTATTGGTTTTTGCTCCTATTTTATTTTTAGGATAGCTTCTGAAAACTAGTTCAATCTTTTTATTTTCCTTGTAAAGAAGTAGCTACTTATAACATTTTCTTTAACATTTCGTTTGAAATATTAAATTCAGACGGGAAGTGTTACATTTTATAAAAATATATTACATTTTACGTTGATTGTTTGTTAAATAACAGTAAAAATGGAAGATGAGATAAATATTTAAATAATGAACAATATTTTTAACAACCAACGCAGAGCATTTTTTGTGTTGGACAAAATACAATTTTAGAAACTTAAGAATAAAGAAAATTTTGCTACAAAATATAATAATAAAAAAGTAAATAATTGCTTAGAATTTAAAATATAGTAGTTTAATGTTTAAAATAATAATATAATAAACTCAAGAGTAATAAAAACGAGACCATTTGAGTGAAACATATTTGAGATTTTTGTATTCTGTGATATGAAATTAAATTTCATGTACAAAGTGTCCCAAAACTTTGCCGCTAAAGCATTTTCCTTTTGATCATTTTCACGTTTAGCAGGTTCAACTCCCAGTTCATACAGGGTTTTTTTTATCCTTGGTATGCAGTCCGGATTCATTTTAAAATAAAAATGAAGACAATGCTTTTAACAAAACATTCTATCTACAGTATTCAAGGTACTTTCCCTTCATGTGACAAAGTTTAGGGACACCCTGTATATTGTTTCAATTTAAAGGACCATCTCCTCCTTTCAAAAATAGTAGTCGGTTTCTTGCAGCAACATATGTCATTTGTTAGTAATACCGTTAATTTGATATTTACTTCCGATTAATTTTAAATCGTGTTTAAAAAAATTACAATTTTGTAAGCATGCTGGCCACCCTGTCAACGTCAACTCAATCACTAGGGCAAATGTCAATCAGTCCAGTCATACATGATATTTGTGAAATCGTGGTGAACTTATTATATAAATTTATGATTGATTTTTATCTTGCAAAAAAATACCCAGGAAATACCTAATAATGTAATGAAAGATGAACAGAATAATTATCCCTGCTTCAGTTACCTATTAAATAGAATATTTTTGATGCTTTGGCACCGATAACAAAAAAATAAACATGCCATTTGCTAACAATAATTATATAGAAAATATAACTAGAAAAAATTCCACGCGGAACAGGCAGCAGACGGGAATGGAACCCGCACCCTTCGCAATCCGGGCGAATGCACTGACAAATTATGCTACCGCGGCCCTGACGGCAGCGTCGAATTTGTTCTAGCCATTCTTAAGCTGCAAGGCAGTCAGTTTTTCTAGTTATATTTTCTTTAGATTTAAACAACAAGCAGTTACATGCTTAAAAATTAAAAAAAATATAACTATATTTTTTTAATTTTTAAGTAGTATTCATTTGACATTGTGGGTTACCTACAATGCGAAGAAATGGCGCTGCCTTGCAGCTTAATAATGTCTAGAAGAAATTCGACGCGGCCGTCAGGGCCGCGGTAGCATAATTGGTCAGTGCATTCGCCCGGATTGCGTAGGGTGCGGGTTCGAGTCCCGTCTGCTGCCTGGCCCGCGTGGAACTTTTTCTAGTTATATTTTATTTAGATTTAAACATCAAGCAGTTACATGCTTAAAAATTATAAAAATAGTTATATAATTTTATATTGAAATAATTATTTCAAAATAAACGGGGATAAAATAAATTGTAGCTTTTTATAATTTTAATTTTTTAATCATATAACTGCTCGATGTTTAAATCTAAAGAAGTCAGTGCATTCGTCCGGATAGCGAAGGGTGCAGGTTCGAGTCCCGTCTGCTGCCTGGTCCGCGTGGAATTTTTATTGTTATATGTTCTTTGTAGCTTTTTGTCAACATTTGTAGTTATTAGTGAATTATTACTAACACTTATTGACGTAGGGTTAGTTTAGTATATATTATTGGGTATATTAAATCTTAGCATGGCCACACTCAGGCATATCTAATATATAAAATTCTCGTGTCGCTGTGTTTGTGGTTAATCTCCTCCGAAACGGCTCTACCGATTTTCGTGAAATTTTATATGCATATTCAGTAGGTCTGCGAATCGGATGTAATTTATATTTTATCCCCTAAATGTTAAGGGTAATCCACCCCTATTTTTTTTTTTAATTTTCGATATATTTTTTTTAGTTTTTTTATGATACATTAAACAAAAATACATACAACCGTAAATTTTCACCCTTCTACCACCAACCCTTATTTTTTTATGGCGGTACGAAGTTTGCTGGGACAGCTAGTCACTTTATATAAACGTTTAAATAAGGCATGACCCATTCTATATATTGACCCATTCTTCACGATACCGATAGGATAAGCCAGCACGTAACTTGTAGTCTTTATAAATTTACGTCACTAAGAACAGACACTCATTACATAAAGAGAGTTAATAATACAATTATCTTTTAGATTATTTTCTTTTATTTTAAGAATCCAACCGCTAGTAGATGTTTAAAACCAAAACAATTATTTTACTAGAAAAAAAAATCCACTCTATCCAGATTTCAGACGAGATTCGAACTCGCATCTTCCGCTATCCGGGCGAATGCACTAACCAATTATGCTAATGCTCTCAAATTTTTAATACTTGAGGTATTTCGTTTGACATTGTGGGTTACTTACAATGCAGCCTTAGAAATACTAAAGGAATTTCCATTTGTTTTCCGTGGTCCACCTCGTAGTCCACCCAGGTGGACCACGGGGTTTTGTTTTTTTCCCGTGGTCTACCCGCATAGCCATATGTTTCTAACAGTAAATTATGGATGTTCTTATGAACAGAAAAGCATTTACAATTTTTAAAAATCGCGTTATTTTTAAAATCATTTAATTAGCGTAGTTTTTCTAAAGCGATTCCTGTAGAAATATTGTTGTTAATTAACTGCATCTGAATATCTTTATATATATAATTCTTCTGTGAGTGTGAATGTCACTGAACTTCTCTTAAACGACTGGACCGATTTTGATGAAATTTTTTGTGTGTGTTCAAGGGGATCTGAGAATGGTTTAGATTCACAATTTTGTCCGCTGGACAATGTTTTTTTAATTAATTTTTAATTTATTAGTAGTTGGTGATTTTGGAATGTTTTACATTGGATCCGACAGATGGCTATGTGTATATTCCTGTCAAACATTTGACGTTCGTCGTTTATCATTTAAGCAATACGAAGTACGCTGGGTCAGCTAGTCTTTTATATAATCATTGTTTTCAATAAATTGCGCCTTTTTGATTTTACAATTCTTATCGTGCTCAAGACACTCAAGAGCCGTAATAAATTGAGGAAGAGTCAGGTGGACCACGGGTAAAAAATATTTCCCGTGGTTCAACCAGGTGAACTACGGGGGGGAAAAAATACCCGTGGTTCACCAGGTGGACCACGGGAAATAAATAATCCCCATGGTCCACCTGGGTGGACTACGAGGTGGACCACGGGAAACAAAGGGGAATTTCGACGCGGCTGTTAAGGTCTCGGTAGCGTAATTGGTTAGTGCATTCACCCGGATAGCGGAAAATACGGGTTTGAAATTCCTCTGAAAACTGGCCCCAGTGGATTTTTATGTAGTAAGAATCTTTGGATTATATTTTATAATGGATTATTGAAATAAATAAAAAGAAAGAAGAAAACATCGAATTAATTACATTAATTAATTACTTTGCTAAAATTAGCAGTATTTGACAAGTTCTAAAAAAAATATCTCACTTTATTTCCAAACTTATGTTTATAGAGTCCATAAAAAGTGGATATTTTTAATTCTGTTGTGTAAATCAGTAAAAAAAAACTAAATAAAAAAAAACAATTTTCAAGTTTCCGCGAAAACATTTTAATGACAGCGTTTTGATGACAGTCGTGTGACGTCACACAAACGTCAAACGATACAATGTAATGTCTCTTTGGCCGGAAGTTTACTAGCGAGTGACGTCATTTTAGACTTTGCTAATCCCAGGCATTGTCGGTCACGTGACCACGGAGCAAATAAATCATGTCTATATAATGATTTTATAGAAAAGTTATTAATTATTTGTTCTTTCAGAATAGTAAAGCGCTGCTTATATTCATATTAAATACAGAAGCAAGTAATTTGTACATTATTTTTCAAACTGTCAAACAGCCTATTTAAAATTAATATTTGATTTCAGATCGTATGACAACTTTGAGTGAAATCGCCGCAGACTGTAACAGACATGATGGAATCACTGCGGTTTGGTTGGCAAACCGCATTTTTGTCGGTAAGTACCACAAAATAGATTAATTATTAACCAATTCTTACGTTAAGGCCTAGTGGCTACCGGCGAGTTCGACTTTAGTTTTTGAAGAATCCCTTACGAACCTATCATTTTCCCGACATAAAAGGTATTATTATATCATGTAATTATAATTATCATAGCATTCATTAATGACGTCATTATTATTATCATATTATATCATTATCATTAATTAGTCAAAAACTCCCTTACACTATAAAAACCCTTTTCTCTCCGACATAAATGAGACAGTTAATAATATAGTATCTCAATACTAGTAATTTTAATGTTAATTAAGTTAATACTAATTTTGTTAATTTTAATATAAGAGGACGCTCGGTAAACGATATTTATGTATGTTATGACGGCAAAGTCATTGCAGGGAGGTGTAATATCACATTCGTAGGAATTGTTAAATGAAAGATTAAACTTTGCTACTCATGTGCATAAGTTCTGCAAAAAAATCAATAGATTCGTTTATGTCTTGAGGCGTTTAACAAAGAAAACCTCTCTCAATGTGACCTTGACGCCTTATCATGGTAATGTCGCATCAAATATATGCTTAGGGTTTGATATTGTAGGGAAATGGATTCGTATTCTTTTGCACAGGTGCAAAAAAGTGCATACGCACTATATGGGGAAAGGGCCCTTTTGAAGCTTGCAGACCGTTGTTTGTTTAACGAAGATTGCTAACAGTTTCATGTTTTCATTTTTCATAATTCTTTAATTTTACAATTATGAAAACTTAACAATTTCAACAGACATAAATTTATACAAATAAAACAACTTTTCAGTTAGATACTTTAAACAGATTATAATTTCTACTAGCAAACCAGTGAACCAAATGTTCACCTAAAAAAAAAATGTATTTAATTAATTGAGAACTTCGGAGATTTTGTGTGGTTTCGTTTGAAATAGAAATCACGTGATTTCCGGTTTGTAGTCTTATCAGACTATTCTTAACTTATAACTTAAACATTCTCTATATCTATCTCTTACGGTTTGGCCGCTGAAACAGCACCACGGACGGACGGACGGACTTGTCTAATAGATAAGAGATAATGGGCAAGTTATTTACAAATTTGCGGCGCCGTTTAAGGATATTTGTAAACGATGTAAATTTGTATTTTTGTATGGGGGTACAGTACGTACACTGTTTATAACATGTTTATAACAGCACCCCTAGCACGAACCATTATCGAATTCGAATAGTTTGCGAGTGCTATATGTCAATGTCAAATGTGTTTGTATGGAAACTTGAACAGCAGCGCCACAAAGTACGTAACGAGAACTAAAAATCAGTTCAGAATTTATACATTTGACAATGAAGTTTCGGACTCGCAAACGTTACGAATTCGATATTGGTACGTGCTAAGGGTACTGTTCTCAAGTTGTTTTACACGATTTTTAAGTTCCTCAGGTAACTCAAAATGCACGGTGTACAATCCCATACTTTTTTTCTAAAGTTTTGTTATACTTGAAAACTATCTAGGTATGCCTGCATAAGAATAATCTATCATACCGAAATTTTTCAGTTATAACCGACCCAGTGGAAGCTGAAGCAGTATTGAAGAATTGCTTGGAGAAAGACAACATCCTCCGCTTCGTCAGAACTCTCACTGGAAACGGCAGTATATTCGCACCAGGTGAGTTAAATAATAGCTAGGTTAACAAAAGGGTATAATTACGCATCTGGTCAAACTATTCTTTTTTACAATCCGGGCCGACGATATTCAATATCCTAGATACACCAACACGAACAAAATCATGCCCGAAACCTGTCCACAAGGTACATTGGACGATCCACGGAGCTCCGTGAGATGATCGCGTAGTCTAAACAATATAAGGCATTATTTAAACATTGAAAATCACCTTTAAAGCATACTGTATGAAGTCTTAATTAAAACGCACGCGTCATAGAGTTATGACAGTCCGGTATGTTACCTCGTAAAATTTTACGACTTTTATATGCAGAAGAATAAAGACTTATTTCTTTGACTGTACGCGCAATTCTGAATGCGCTGTTAGTAATATAGAAGGTACGGTCCGCGAGGAAAAGAGACGGCTATATTATCGACCATGTATTTAAATATCAAAAATATTTTCTATTAAATCAGTTTACAGTAAAGTATTAAACAAAATTTACTTCAAATGCGTTAAATTAACAAATATTGATTAGATACCTGTCGAAAAAACGACATTTTACATTATTTGTATATTTCTTTCGCCTGTTTTCACGGAGCTCAGCGGCACGTTGTCTTTTCAACTGTCCGCGCGTGACTGAAGAAGTGCTTGAGTCGTGTTCAAGCACTTCTTGATTGGGACACATTTTGAGCGCACGTGGTGTATTTAGGGTATTTAATATCGTTGTTTCAATAAAAACTACCTTAAACAGTGTTTAAATTACTGAATTTTTAAATTAAAAACCATGCCAAAAGCTCACTGGAGGTATGTCATTCAGTATTATACAGCTCCTGTAAATTTTAATTTTATGTAATTATAACGTTTTGTTCGCCATCTCCTCTTAATATAAATAATGATATTACAGCACCAAAAGTAATAAACTTTTGAAATAAAATAAAAACATGAAAAAACCAATAAAATCAATAATTAAAAACGGTTTTTAGGCTAATTACGGAATTGAGCCGTCAGGTAGGTTTTTTAAAAACTAAACTTTTAATCATAACTTTATTTATTTAAATGTTTTACAAAATAACCTTTATTGATTGATCCCGATGATCCGGTCTTACAAACTATACGTCAAGATGCTTCCATGATTGAAGCTCGAGCGACTACCAAAACTGTCCGAAGGTTTTACATGAACTAAATCTGTCTAATAAGCACTTTTCTACACGATTGCTCAATCGAGCCACCTGCACTTGGGAAACACATTATGTACGCGTGACGTATGAGTGACGTAGAAGAGTATTGTACTCGTAACATGCTTATAAAAATGGATTGTAAACCATTACGTTTGTTTGTTCTCGTACATATAAACAAATTTACATACAAAAGTGTTAAACTACATTGAAACCTACATACCTACGGCTTTTGTAATAAAAGACCCATAAGGACCTTTATCGCCAAGGACTTAGAACCATAGAAGATGCCAGAATTATCTCTGATGGAGTTAAACATATGACAAACACGATAGAGCGTTGAGTGATGACCGAGTCTTGTCCTACACGATGGAATTGTGAATGTTTTGCGACTTTGTAACCTGCTGCCCGTTTGTGGGATATTAGATATCAGTAAGTTAACCAAAAAATATAGGACACGTATTTTTGTTTAAAAATAAATAAATAATTCCAACACACACCAATTAGCCCCAAAGTAAGCACTTTAAGGCTTGTGTTATGGGATGCTAGGGTAACGGATAAGTATAATTATATAGAAATACATATTAAATATCCATGAATGTAGTACAAATGCACGTATTCATCACACAAACATCTGCCCTCACCGGGATTCGAACCCGGGACCTCTCGAGTCGGCGACACACCATGAAACCCGGCGTACAAACCCCACGGCCACGGAGATCGTCAGTTTATTCACTTAATCAAAACATTACAGAGATAATATTTATTTGGGATGTCGCATAACATCCCGTCTTGGCACAATACATTTTATTAAGAAGTGACTTCACGATCCCCCGCTGCCAAACTTTGACGCGATGTTAGACATTTTTTGGTAGATTGACAAAAGAAAAAAATGAGGCCATTATTTTTTGACTACATTTAAGGTGGTACATTTAATATTATGTTAGGAAAATATATGACGCTTTCCGCACTAATAATAATAATAGTGGTCCCTATAGTCCTCTCCACAACAGGCATCATTCCAAATCACCTTCTCCATAGCCTTAAATTAATAAACCTTAAATAAAGAAACCCTCTATATCACCCTCCAAAAAGTTGCAATTTTAAATACATGTCGCATTGTTAGAAAATTCTTGCAAATAGATGAAAACGAAATAGGTTCTCATCAGAACACTACAACACAACACATGCTGCACTTACTTGATTTCGGCCCCTAATTGTAGTAAAAACCAGACAAATAGCTGAGAAGAAAAACACTCTACAAATAATAATAAATCATTTATTTCAGATAATTATAATAGAATTATAATCCATAGTTATTTGTACAAGTTTAGTAACAATGTCGGGTTTATCCTATGTTAATATTATTAGTATATTAATTAATCATTCATTACCAAATTATCCGCAATTACTAAACCCGCATGGTGAATCATGGCCTAAACTAATATTGTTTGATAAAAACAATCTTACGGCGCGATTACATTTGGCCGTTAGCCCGAATACAAGTGCCAATGGAATTCGGGAAAACGACTAAGGCCCTTATTATAGAAAGGTTCTCAGTGATTGATCTAGTCTTGAGCGTAGTTATAAAGGGACGTCGCTATATATAGCACATAGTGATATCCCTTTCTAACTGTACTCAAGTAAAGATCAATACTTAGTTGTCATTCTGTAATACGGGCCTTAGTGTAATAAACGGAGTCGAATACTTAGATTAAAACAAAAAGGGTAGATACGGTACGCTCATACTTGCATCAAACAAAAACTGATCCCACGGCAGCGCGAACGGGACGGCGAGATCCGCGTCACTGCATTACCGACCCGAACGAAACAGCACGTTAAGTTTCAACGGCAGCGCGAACGAGACGGCGAGATCCGCGTCACTGCACTACCGACCAATCACGCGACCAGTACTCGACGTCACTACAGAATAAGATTCAAAACAAACAGCAATTTTCATGAAAAAATATATTTTATAGTACTTACGAATGAAAAGTGATGCCGTGGGTTTTGTTTTTAGTTCTTAAGCAATTTGAGCACTTTTTAATAACACACAGGCATTGTTTTATCATATAAACACAAAATATTAGCAATATTTCTTTTTGGCGTTCACATGTACGTCGTTTGCATGTCAAGTTGTGACTAAAGCGATTAGGGTCGCGGACCACAATTCATGCGGATCACTTTTGTGAGGCTAGTGCCGTATCTACCCTTTTTGTTTTAATCTAAGGTCGAGTAAGTCCTTATTCGGGTAGATTTTCTTTTGTTTACCCGACTCTCCAGCCCGTAAACCAGTGTAAATATTGTTTCGGCTGCCCAAAGTTGAGTAATGTCTTTCATGCACTCGAATACAGACTAAAGACCAAATGTAATTGCGGCATTTTCTGTGCAGTACAGAAGATATTGACGACTTATATACACCTCAGAAAACTTTTTGAGCAACGAAGGGCAAGTTTATTTGTCTGTGGTTTTGCGCAAGAAGTTTGCGCTGTACGATTTCAAGCGCGATAATTTCACAAAAAGATTGTCAAAATGCTGTCGCAATCTTTTTTTAGATTCCCGATAGTCAAAAATATATGATTATCCCGGTAGTCAATCGAAAATATACGATTTTCCCGGTAGTCAAAATACTGTCGCAATCTTTTTTAAGATTCCCGATAGTCAAAAATATATGATTTTCCCGGTAGTCAAAATGCTGTCGCAATGTTTTTTAAGATTGCCGATAGTCAAAAATATATGATTATCCCGGTAGTCAAAATGCTGTCGCAATCTTTTTTAAGATTCCCGATAGTCAAAAATATATGATTTTCCCGAGAGTCAAAATGCTGTCGCAATGTTTTTTAAGATTCCCGATAGTCAAAAATTTATGATTTTCCCGATAGCCAAAACGCTGTCGAATCTTTTTTAAAAAGTTTTATTAATATACTATTGCGTGATACATAATATTTCTTAACTGTAAATGTTTACGCAGCGTCGGCATCGAAAGTCTGCAAAAAGATTATTTTTTCCCGTTTTTGCAACATTTTTATTGACGCTTGATTCCTTACTAACTCATAGTATCTCTTGGATTAATGCATCAAACAAAATATTATTTCTGTTCGACATGTAGTTCCTGTTAAAACCGCAGTCAAACAAAAAAAACTGTTTGGCCTTGTATTATATAATTGTAAATAACATCAATTTTTAAATACAATATACCTTGTATATAAAATTCTCGTATTACAATGTTAGTTTAGTTACCATACTCCTACGAAACGGCTTCACCGATTTTTATGATATTTTTTATGCATATTCAGTAGGTCTGAGAATCGGCTACTTTCTATTTTCAATAGAGATAAGGGTGGTTTTAGTGATAAGGGGTCCACCCTTAACATTCTTTATTTATTTGTTGGACAAAATTTTATTTTTTCATAGTGTGGCATCAAAGAAAACATACAACCCTAAATTTTCATCCTTCTACCGCCAACCCCTAATTTTATCGCGGTACGAAGTTCACTAGTTCAGCTAGTTATCGAATAAAGAGCTATAAGTCAATAATATTATTGAGTTCAGTTAAACTCGGAAGCAAACATTTTTGGTAACTCAACCAATGTCTGGCTGCCGCGAAAGTTGCTTACCCTAAGATTGGACTTATTAACCTCTACACCAGAGCTATAATTAAAAAAAACAAAATTCGTTTCGGTATCCGTAAAAGGTGGATCTAGCCGACCGGCCAAACATGGTAGGTAATCGGAGGTCGGTAACGGGCCGTCAAACAACATAGTATGTGATATGTTTACACTCACATTTATGACGGAGGTGACTATAATTCAAGAACGGTACCTCAC